ACTGGCTGCTGAAAAACACAAAGAATGTGGAGGATTTAGAGCTGAGTTTAGAGGAGGAAATGCTGAGTCAGTGTTCAATCTTGACATGTAGCCTACAGTTCTCATGTCTTCCTACAGGAGGGGAAAACTTCAGGTTCTTGACCTGCGGAAGAAGCACCATGAATTCTGGAGCATATGGGCTGATGCAGAAGATGGTGACTGCTTAGCAGAGACCCCAGATGAGCAGCAAGTAGTGAAGGTCCTTCCCAGATATGCACTGAGGCAGCGCCTGAAGGTGGTAGCTGACCTTTGGCTTATGTATGGTTTGAATGAAAAGCAAGCATGCTTCTTGCAGTGGGCCCACCAGAGAAAGGGCTCCATACAGTTCTGCTGTATGGAGATGAAGATCTGGGCTCTGCCTGTCTTTGTTACTGGGGAGGTCTTGAATGTCTTCCATCTGGAGTACATCGAGGAATTGGAACTGAACATGCTCATTTGGGATTTGTTAAAGCTGTTACAACTTGCTCCCTACCTAGGCCAGATGAGAAATCTTCGCAAACTCTTCCTGGCCTACATCTTCAAGATTGTGTTCATGATTGGCAACAGAACAACAGACAGAGAAGAGAAGTGTGTCAGGAATTTCATTTCTCAGTTCTCCAAACTCAACTGTTTCCAGCACCTCTCCATGAATGGCATGTACTTTCTTAGAGACCGCCTGAAACAGGTTCTTGGGTAAGTAAGGGTGAGGGCTGGGTCAGCTGCCAGAGCAGACATTTCTTCATAATTTTAAGGATTAGTGGTACATGATGCCTGCCTGTTACTGGGTAGAATATTTAGGCCTCATTAGAATATTGAAGGTCATGTATTATTTCCATGTATAATGAATCATGTTGTCAAATACCCAGTCATGAATAAAAGGCCTGAAGGTCAGATCTAGTAAGGATGGGTTGTAATTCTTCTTGGAATCATGCCCACCAATCCAATGGAAAGGAAACAGGACAGGGAGAATGTAGTCAGGATTCAGGGGACTCACCAGCACAGTGTGGAAGTGAGCTCTGTGCTCAGATCTGTGAGAGCAGCCTCAGTCTGTCCGAATTTCACATGGTTTAAATGATTTGAGCCCAAGTAAAGCCTAGTACATGGAACAATGTGGCTAGTGTGGGATTTAAACGCTATTAAGAGTGACTGTGCAGAGGCATTGATGGAATGCAGAGTGCAGTGAGCTCACAAAAAGTATCCCTAGAGCCTGCCAGGACTTTCATGGGTTGGAACTTCCTCTGTTTATCTTCTATTATTATTATTATTATTATTATTATTATTATTATTATTATTATTATTATTATTTACAGTTTATTCCTTCAGTTTGTATCCTGTTTGCAGTATCCTCTCTCATCTCTCCTCAATCTCACCCTCCATCTTTCTTTCTTACAATCCCCTCTTCTAGTACTTTGAAAAAGGGACTCCTCCCCTCCTATAAGACCGTAGCCTATCAAGTCTCATCAGGAATGCCTGGATCCTCTTCCTCTGTGGCCTGGTAAAGCCACCCTGCCAGGGAAAAATGATCAAACAACAGGCAACCAAGTTCATGTCAGTGGCAGCTCCTGCTCTTCTTATTAGTGGACTCACTTGGAGACTGATCTGTCTGTGGGCTACATCTGAGCAGGGGGTCTAGGTCTTCTCCAGGAATGGTCCTTGGCTAGTGTATCAATCTCTGTAGGCTCCCCTGGGCCAAGAGTTTTGGGCTTTGTTGTTTTCCTCCTGGAGCTCCTGTCCCATCTGAGTCTATCCCACCTTCTCACAAAAGACTCCCTTCTGTCTGCCCAAATAGTGGCTGTGTGTTTCTACATCTGCTTTGATCCCATGGTGAGTGGAGTCTCTCAGAGGACATCTATGGTAGCCTCCCTTCCTCTTTCCTTTCTTCAACTGCTTCCAGTCTCTATCTTTTTGCCCTTCTGGGTGAGATTTAAGCTGACTCACTAGGTTCCTCCTTGTTTAGCTTCTTCAGGTCTGTAGATTTTAGTATGTTTATTTGTATTACATAGCTAATATCTGCTTATAAGTGAGTATATACCATGAGTGTCTTTCTTCTTCTGAGTTACCCCAGTCAGGATGACCTTTTCCAGTTCCATCCACTTGCTTGCAAATTTTATAACTTCTCTATCCATTCTTTGGTTGGGAGACATCTAAGTTGTTTGCAGATTCTGTCTATTACAAATAAACCTGCTATAAACATAAACATGGTTGAGCAAAGGCCTTTGTGTGGTGGAGCATCTTTCAGGTATATGCCCAGGAGTGGTATAACTGGTTCTTGAGGAAAGGCTACTTTCACTTTTCTAAGAAAGTGCCAGATTGATTTCCACAGTGGTTGTACATGTTTGCACTCCCATGAGCAATCAAGGGGAGGGGAGTTCTCCATTCTCCACATCCTCTCCAGCATGTGCTGTTACTTGAGTTTTTGATCTTAGCCATATCTGACAAGTATGAGATGGAATCTCAGAGTCATTTTGATTTGCATTTTCCTGATTACTAACGATGTGAAGCATTTCTTGAAGTGTTTCTCTGCCATTCAGTATTTCTCTGTTGAGAATTCTCTGTTTAGCTCTGTACCCCATTTTAAATTCTTTTTTTAGCTATTTTTTTTATTAATTACACTTTATTCATTTTTTATCCTCCCATAAGCCCCTCCCCCCTCCGTTTTAAATTCTTATTTGATTTCTTGGTGCTTAACTTCTTAAGTTCTTTATATATTCTAGATATTAGCCCTCTGTCAGATGTATGGTTGGTAAAGATTATTTCCCAGTCTGTTGTCTGCTGTTTGTTCTGTTGACAGTGTCCTTTGCCTTACAGAACTTTTCAGTTTCATGAGGTCCTATTTATTGATTGTGGCTCTTATAGCCTGAGCTTTTGGTATTCTGTTCAGGAAATTATCTTTTCTGTCAATTAGTTCAAAGCTCTTCCCCAACTTTTCATATAGTAGATATAATGTGTCTGGTTTTATGTTGAGGTCTTTGATTCACTTGGACTTTATGGATCTATTTGCATTTTTCTACATGTAGACATCCAGTTGAACCAGTACCATCTTGGAAGATGCTGTCTTTTTTCTATTGTAGGTTTTTTCTTCTTTGTCAAAAATCAAGCATCTATTGGTGTGTGGGTTTATTTCTGAGTCTTCTATTCAATTCCGTTGATCCACCAGTCTGTTTCTATGCCTGTCCCGTGCAGATTTTATTAATGTTGCTCTATAGTATAGCTTGAGATCAGGGATAGAGTTACCTCCAGATGACCTTTTATTGTACAGGATTGTTTTAGCTATTCTGGGTTTTTGTTTTGTTGAGACTTATTCTTTCAAGGTCTGAAGAATTGTGTTGGTATTTTGATAGGAATTGCATTGAATCTACTCACAGATGATATGATAGTATACATGAGTGACCCCAAAAATCTTCCATAACCCTGTAGCTGATAATACCATCAGCAAAGTGGCTGGATACAAAATTAACCAAAAAAAGAAAATCAGTAACTTTGCCTTATACAAAAGACAAACAGACTGAGACAGAAATTAGTGAAACAACACCCTTCACAATAGCCACAATAAAAGAACATAAAGTGTCTTGGTGTAACTCTAACCAAGCAAGTTGAAATCTTGTATGAAAAACTTTAAGTCTCTGAAGAAAGAAATTGAAGAAGATATCAAAAAATGGAAAGATCTCTCATACTCGTGGATTGGAATTTCTTATGGGTGCTTTCTGGGCTTATGGGCTGAGCTGGTTTTCTGCTTGAGAGAGAGGCCAGGAGATGAAGTGTCAGTTTGTCTTGACTGAGCAGATTCCAACAGGAAGCATCTTAGAGAATATTTTTGGTATTTGTTCAAACTGACCTTGGGACACTGGGTTCCTTCTACCTCTGTGTAAATGCTACCCCATACTCCACAACACAATTTTCCAGAATTAACCTCCTGGTCTATATCCCTAGGTGCCTTATGACTCCATTGGAGACCCTATCCATCCCCTACTGCAGCATTTCACAGTCAGACCTGAATTACTTCTCTGGGTGTCCGAAGCTTTTTCAGCTGAAACATCTGGACATGAAAGGTGTGCGCTTAAAGACTTTGGATCTTATGCCTCTCCGAGTCCTCCTAGAGAATGTGGCAGACACTTTGCAGTCCCTGGACTTGAAGGGTTGTAGGATGAGGGACTCTCATCTCACTGTGCTCATACCTGCCCTCAGCAAGTGCTCCCAGCTGGCCAATGTCAGTTTCTATGACAATGACTTCTCCATGCACAACCTGAGGAACCTTTTGCAGCACACAGCCAACTGGAGCAAGATGAATGTGGAACAGTACCCTGCCCCTCTCGAGTGCTATGATGAGTTGGGTTATATCTCCACAGAGAGATTTACCCAACTTTGTGCTGAGCAAGTAGATAGACTCAGGGCCATAAGACAGCCCAAATACATCTTTGCTACAAATATGTGCCCTAGATGTGAAGAGCGTTGTGTCTATGGCCAGGAATTCAGACTCTGTCGTTGCCAGCAGAGGTGACAGTAAATAGGCAAACAGGATTTCTGGATTGGAAGAAATGAAAGTCTTGGGACCCATCTCTCATGCTGGG